ACTGTTGCCTAGATTTAAGTTGCATAAACATACATACATATATACAAGGTGGCGCAAAAGTAACCTTGCGATGTTTTTTGGCTGTAATTTAAAAAAAAAAAAAGAAAAACTTTGATTCTTCTTGTGGATTATTTTTATTTGGTCTTTTAATTTTTTTTACATCAAGGGCGAGAATATGATGTCATGTAAATGGCCGCCGCCAAAGTTGATTGCCATTTGAGCCCTTTTTATGGCATTTTCCATCACTTTGGCCAAAACTTCCGGCGATAGGTCCTCACATTCTTGACGGATATTGTCTTTAAGAGCTGCAAGAGTCTGAGGCTTGTTGACATAAACCCGCGACTTCAAAAAGCCCTACAAAAAGAAGTCTGGAGCGGTCAAATCAGGCGATCTTGCTGGCCAGTGCAAATCGCCAAAACGGGAGATTAGGCGCCCGGGAAATGCATCCTTCAGCATATCGGTTGTGGCACGTGCAGTGTGTGCCGTTGCACCGTCCTGTTGGAACCACATGTTTTCCAATCCCAATTCATCAAGTTGCGGCAAAAAGAACTCTTTGATCATTGCTCTGTAGCGCTCACCATTCACAGTAACCGTTTGGCCCGCGACGTCTTCGAAGAAAAAAGGTCCGATGACTCCTCCAGCGAAAACAGCACACCATACAGTGACTTTGAGCGGGTGTAATGGCTCTTCGTGGGTTACACGCGGATTTTCAGTGCCCCAGAAGCGTAAATTTTGCTTATTTACGTACCCGCTAAGATGGAAATGGGCCTCATCACTCATGATTATTTTTGATGAAAAATCATCTTCCTCTTGGTGGTGATAAAAGTCAGCAATATTCCGCGTTCTGGAGCAGTGTAGCGTAACATTGTTTATTAACGTGTATTTCGCATGTGTTTACTACACAAATGTCAAAACAGAACTGACATTAGGGGCCAATCGCAAATTTATAGCATTTTCTGATAGGAGGATTACTTTAGCGCCACCTTGTACAAATTTCGGGTATTCACATGTGTCTATGTATATACACGTATGTACATCCGCAAGAACGCCTGCAGCTTGGAATATATTTTGAATAACTCGGTTATGCGAATAGGTTTAAGAATTTTTAAATTAGTGTTAAAATAAATACTTCTATGAGCATGGATTCAACTTTTTTTTTGATTTCGAACTATCGGCAAGGAGGTGTGTTGGAAGGAC